AAATCGCTAGTAGAAAGATACACGGAGGAAGGCTGAAATAGCATGATTAGCAAGTACTATCTAGGACTGATGATAGCGTACACCTCCAAAAATCTTGCTAAGTTTGACTGGCTACAGCTGGATACATCATTTGCTACTAATATTGTCGTGGTTTCTCACTGTTAGTCTTACGAGGTCAAGGCCAAATACACGAGTGTCTGGAAATGGTGCAATCTTTTCTGTTTTTTTAGCATGAGTTTACACTTCCAAGGAATGTTTTGCTAACAAAGGTGGAAGCGTCCGCCCTGCTATGGCCGATTTGCCTATTTAGAAATAATACATTTAATCTTTTCATGAAACTCTTGTTTTTAATGGTAAAATCTCTTCTTCATGTAGATAATCTGCCGTTGTACGCATTGGCTTCATATGCGGTCTATGCTACACCGAGCGGAGTACTAGTCGTTGTTCCTGATTGCGTGTATGCGGTTGGAGTGAGTGATCAGACATATTTTTACCCAACAAGAGTGACAACATAATCTTCGCTTGGGTCACACCCTCCTTCGACATGTGCATAGTTTCGGTTTCATATGATTTTGTTGTTGTCACTGTGCCACTCCTTTTACTTTGTCAGACTCTGTTTTAACGGCGTGCATTTTAGCTATGTAGAGACCGATTGTCATATTACGCTTTGTATTCACTTGATGCCACATTAGAAATGGATAAAAGCATCATTTATCAAAAGAAAAGGAAATGGTTTTGCAAAGACAAATATTGGGATCTCGAGCTTCCAAGCGCTGTAACCGACTCCTGTTAGGAAGAAGGGCCCAACCACTGCCACTAGCGACGTACGGCATGTCACGCCAGGCTCTGGCGGCAGCTAGTAGCATCTAGCGGCATTCACAATGACTAAACGTGTCACCGCCGAGCAGGACAAGATGGGTGGATGGGTCAAGCACTGCAGAATAGGCGCTTGCTTGCGTGGCGGCGATGTGTTTTTCAGTAGTTAACTGTGGATGATTCGCTCGTGTGTGCTCAGCAGTCCAAAGAAATGGGTGTAGAAATGAGCCTCGAGCTCGATGGCGTACCGAACTATGGATGGATCGCTGGACTGCGCAGGTCCGTCCTTCTTATTTCCTCACGACTCGCTGGATGTCATGGCAGTTGTTGTTTTGTGCTCTGTCACAAAAGCAGAGGGCCGGAGCAAATGCGAAGAAGAAGAAGAAGAAGTAGGAGCGAATTCCAGTATTTTATGTACGGTGTACCCGGCATGTCCACGTCCCGTTGGTTCAGAGCATCTACAATCGAACCCCTCAACCCTGCCTCATACGTCTGGGCGGGCCACCCGAACACTGTCCGGTCACGTTTTTTAACCCAGACAGCCCCTTCAAACGGCCCTCAAACGTTCAGACTGACTGGCACCTTCATATTCAGCCAAATATGGAAATAATATACAGGCGCCTGGGCACGTCCGCCATGTCGGACCCGGCCCACGCTGGCTCACCCGACCCCGCATAAATTCTTTCTCATCCACTCACCAGACCAAACCCTAACCACTTCACTCCTCTTCCCTCCGCTCCCCGTCTGCCACTCAAGCTCGTCTCCGGCTCCTTCCGGCCTTCTCCGGCATGGCGGGAAGCGGATCCGAGTCATTCACCTCCAGATCCGTCGACCCCGAGCTCATCCCGCGTGGCCCTGAGGAGATGGTCGTCCGACTTGCGCTCTGCGGCACCCGGGAGGAGGCCCTTGGACGGTTGCGCTCGGACTCCATCCGTCGGGAATCCATTGCGTCCGCCCAAATGGGGTATGGATCCGGCGCTAGGCCGGCCATAGCTGCCTCGCCGGAGGTCGTGCGGTCCGTCTGGCGCCCGGACGCGCTGGCGGACACGCAACCCCTTCGGTGACGCGCCGAGCATCGGGACGAACCATGGGCCTCGTCCAACGAGGCCATGGCACGGTGTGCCGGCCGTGCAAGGCACCGGGCGCGGGAGGCGGCGGCGGCGGACGTCGGCGAGGCGGAGTCGCATTCTCCGGCGCCCCGTATGGCACATTAGTCCGGGCGCCGCAACTACATCGTGGTGGACATCTACGGCTCGTCCCCGGACGGATCCATCATCGATCTGACGTCCACCGACACCGTTCGTGTTCCGGTCTCCGACGAGGAATAGTAGGGCATGGGAGACAGCGGGACCTTGAGTCCTATGAGCTAGCTCATGTACCATGCCCTACCCTACTTTGCCGGCGACCGGCCAACACTCTGAGGAGCGCAGCCGGCCGTCGGGCATGGCCAGAGCGGAGCCGGGCGAGCGGGGAGCGGAACTGGACGAGCTCCGCGCAGATTAGGTTTCACGTTGCATGTAATAATATGAACATGAGGTTTTTAATTGGACGTATTTGGATGTGAAATGCGTTTTCTAAAAGGTGACCAGTCACTGTCCGCGGATGCGTCCGGGTACATCCGCGGGTGTTTGAGGGGTCGGATTTGACAACCTCTCAAACACCTCTGTACTTGTTATGTGGACACTCCTTTTGTGCTTGTTCTAGCTTAATCCACCGCCGCAAGTGTGACAAACAAGGGAAGGGGCGCTTTGGCTCTTGGCCAGTCATGATTCTAGCGGTATCTCAACTGCAGCCGCAGGTGTCATCTAGCTCGGTGCCAACATAGATCGATTTGGATGCTACCACCTTCGCAGGCAGGCAGGCAACGGGTTAATTAACGGGATCTCACCAATCACGTAAGCAGGAGGACATGCTAGCTTGCTGGTTTTGCCGGCCCATGGATGGGGATCTCACTAACCATGCACGCAAGTGGAAAGCAGGACCTCTTTGCACGTCTCGTCTAGGCGGCGTGCGTATTGGCCGAACAGTCGCCGTAGCGTAAGTGAGTGTTGACCTCCCAGCACGACGGAAAGGTTAACTTATTAACCAGCAGCGCAAGTTTCCACGCAGATGTGGTTGTGCAGTGCCGAACGCGTGCTCTCGATCGTTTGGATGGGTTCGGTTTGGACGTTGGGGATTCCGCCGGTGAAAGGCAAGAGAGATTGGCCATTTTGCTCTGCTATTGGTGGCCTACCGCCCACTCAATTTTGGGTAGTTTCGTGGAAATTGTTCCGCTTTACTACTTAAACGTGTTTGGTTCGTGGGAATTAGAGATTGAGAATGTGAGTTGAGGGGTGAAAAGTCTTTTGATTGAGTAGAGGAAATGAAAATTTAAGTGGCAAGAGGACTGAGGGTTGAGAGGGCTAATTCCCACCATTTTTTTTTCATGGGTACCTTGTTAATTCGTAGGTAGAGCTTCATCCTAATCCAATTCCCAACTTGTACCCAACAAAGGAATAGGAGTAAGAATCTACTTCTCATGTCTAATCCCTATACAATCTCCTACGTACAAACTCCCAGTCCCCTGCCCCAATGGTTACCGAACAGGTTGGACTTCACGGTCACATCCGTGGTGGCCACGACTAGTGCGCCAGGCAAGAAGGTAAATCCTATTTGATGCTCAAGGCGTCAAACATAGCGTGCGGCTGTACCTCGCTTATAGCAAGGTAGAAGTACCCATAAGCACAATTATACAGAAAGCAGTCTCCTTTATTCTCCTTTATTCGTATCTGGGGAAAGGGTTGGTCCTCCAAATTCTCTTTAAAGAATGTTAAAGCAGTACTGTAATTTTCTGGTGAAATGGAAAGTGGTTGCTACCATATTGTTTGTAGTGATTACATCATAATCCTCATCGGTTGTTATTGATGGGCCTTAGCATAAGCTTTAACAATTTTTCTGAATTGCCTAAAATGACAGTTTTTCTTAATTGTGAAGCTTCTAGAAGCTTCCAATCGGTGTGAAGTTTCTAGAAGCTTTGGACCAATTTTTTGGTTTGTCATTTTTTTCCAATTTTTTCTCTATTTAAATTCCTTTTAAAATTTTAAAATTTCATGACTATTATTATTAGTGCGCATTTTCGAAATTGGTGAACAATTGTCAAATTCATATATTTTTATTAATTTTTTGAACTCTTTTCAAACTCACAAACAAAATTTAATTTTGTTTGAAATTTATGAACAATTTTTAAATGCATTTTTTTAAATTCGCAATCTTTTCTTGAACTCACAAAATAATTCTTTCAAATTCTTGAAGTTTATACATTCCACCAATTTTTTGAACCAACAGGGTAGTAAAAGACAAAAATGATTGAAAATAAAATGTGCGAAATCTGTTGGTGAGCGAAGCCAATGGACGAAGTGAGCTACTAGGTCGTGCGCTAAAGGCATTGCGGAGAAGTCCCCGAATCAATCAATCAACAAGTTGAGAAAGAAGAAGCAAAACTTATGATCTCTTCGGATGCCATGAACAATGGCCACCTTGCCTCTAGCATATCAACCGCGCCACAAAACTTGGTGACACTAGTCTGGATGGCATGTCATCGATACAATAACGGCCTCACATTGCAAGCGTGGATGATGTGCATGTCATAGGGCACAATGTGCTTTCACGCGTGAAACAAATCATGCACGCGCTGTGAGAACGCTCCCCTCTGCTCCTGCCTATGAAATCAGCGGATACGGCCAACCACGCATCACACAACAACTCATTCTCCATGGTTGAGTATGCCGCCATCCTTTGTACTATAAGTAATGTTTGAGCAAAGTTTCATATCAATTCAGCAGAACATCAATTTTAGGAGTTGCTCATATATTTAACTGTGTGTATAAATTATAATCCAAGTTGTCTATGGTGCTATAGGTACATAAACCAGGTTTAAATAATTGCAATATCAATACATAACTATAAAAATTTCAATATTGATACATAACCATCGGGTTTCCGTACCAGATACATAACCACCAACCCTGCAAAGAAAAAAAAAAAACATAACCACCAGGTTTCAGAAATGAAACCATTAAATTTGAGCTCCAGCTCAAGCACCATCTCATCAAAGGAATGATGGAAATGTGAAATAAAGTAATGCAGCTAAACACAAGTTTGAGAACATCCGATCTTTCACGGTGTGAACACTGTAATATTCAGAATCACTGTGAGGTATTTAACTGCGGCAATTCAGAAATTAGCTCTTGAAATTCAAAGACGGTCCAGTCAGCTTTGGCTGCAACTGCTTCTCTCATCTGGACACCAGCGTAACAGATGAACAAGTCTGCTCCACCAGGCTGCCGAGCCTGCAAAGAACATGTATATAAATTAAGCTACACACATTTTTGTCCATTCCTCATAGATATAGCTCCTTCATCGCACTAAAAATTAATAACACTAAGAATCGGTTAAATAGCTGCGTACACATCATTCATAAAAATATCATATGTTGGCCTTTGACGAGAATTAAATGCCATGAATCACTATTTAACATGTCGTTAGGAAGTCACAGCAGTTTTGTCCTCCGCACCCCCCTACTCCTAAGTACTACCTCCGTCTCAAAATATAAGACATTTTTGTAGGCTAAACATCTTACATTTTGAGACGGAGGTAGTACTAAGTGATGTCATTGTCTCACATGATTTAGGATCTGTAAAAAGATGAACTAGTGCAGTCTGCACTTATAGCCCTTCTTGCCACCTCATTTTATTGAAGAAACTCACTCTCCTGTTATTTATATCTCTAGTCAAATAACAAAGAGAACAACATGCAGCACCTGATGTGAGATTGAAAAACACAAACAGTGAGAAAGGAGTTGCAAATAAACAAATCAAGCTGCATCAACTGGCCACTTCCACATCTTTCCCCCATCAGATAAATGAATCGTGTCAATACGTGTTGTTTACTTTACCCAAAGAAACATATTTATTTTCAAAGGAATTATCCACAGATGTACCTCAAGATCAGTTGCACCATCTCCAATCATAACCAGCGTCTTGTAACCACGATCCTGAACACATGGAACAAGGTCACTTATGGGGCTAGAAATTAAGAACATAAATGCAACATCGGAAGTCACAGTTACACTAAACCTGTCTTATTTGTTGCACTGCTACTGCTTTACCCCCACTTCGAGAAGTGGGTTCTGTGGTATCAAATCCAGCATACTCTCCGGATGTACCAAATAGCAGTCTGTTCGCTATGATGTTTTCAGTAGGAATGCCAAGCTCAAATGCCACAGGCTGGAAGCAAGACAAATAGAAAACTAAGGGCTGCTTTACGCATGCATGTGAAAATTCAGTTGCAAAATTATATTTACAATTTTCTCAAGAGAAGAAAAAAGGAATTATAGTTTTTAGATCGGGAGAAGAAACATATCCTTGTTTAATGTTCCAACAAATAATATAGATGGGAATTTTAGCATTAATGTCTGTATTCAAACTATAGATATGTTAAAAGTAAAGCTTGGTGTGACATCCAAATATAACAATTATCAAAGTTTGAAGATTTTTTAAGGACAGGCAAATTTGACCATGTTCTGATATTCCAAAAGTACCAATAGTGCAGCCAATTAGTGAAGATATACCTCAATCATTTGTCTGAAACCTCCTGACACAAGGAACACTTCAGTATTATTAGCTATTAACGTTTTAATCAAATCAGCGATTCCAGGAGAAATCCTGCAGATACAAACATATTGCTTTTGATAAACATGTGGATGAACCAAGAAAATGAACAATGTGTGTACCTAACATGAAAATTACATCTGTTTTAGTGCTGAATAAATGACTAACGAATACCATATTAGTAGCATTATTCTGTAGTCAGAGATATTAGGAAATCTCTTATTAAGACACACAGCGAATAAGTCGGAAGGGTTATGTTGTGGTTGCAGGGCACGCAACAGCCTAACGGTGGAGACTCAAGTGGTATAAGCAGGTACTCCCTCCGCCCCGTAATATAAGAGCGTTTTTGACACTAGTGTAGTGTCAAAAACGCTCTTATATTATGGGACAGAGGGAGTAGTATTTTGTATCTCATTTAGTGGTATTAAAAAGAACTTAGACTTATTATCCTGAAATGTTGTTTTTCTCGTGGCACCAGACCAATTTTGCATATAGTGTAGCTAATATTTTTCATATTGGTGTAAAAAGAGAAGCCGAGTGAAATCAGGTAGGAATTCCTAAGATCGTTCTGTTATGTTCAGTGGCACATATCATACCATTCCAAATTAAGAATAACAAAGCTGTGGAATCTCAAAAGATCCATCTAGGAAGCAAATACGGCAGCTAAATAGTGCTTAACTTCTTGAATCAACCTGAAGTTGGGACTTGGATAAGGTTACCTGGGCGGCCTCTTCTCCAAACAGTCCTGAACTTGGGACAGAGATGGCTTGATTAACGAAATCCGGGCAGCAAGAGCCTCTTCAAATGGAACGGTCCCTGTCATTGCCCTGAGAACATTAGACCAAGATTAGTTCTTCCAAAGATATTACTCCGTCCGATCCAAAATAAGTGTCGCAGTTTTGAACCGGGGTAGTATATGACTGAAAACTGCGAAAATTATTATGATCGGAGGTAGTATATGCTAAGCACTAACATACTATGGAAAATGTGACATTTACTTTGTCGTCCACTCAGCTACTGCCTGCCCAGCCCCACAGAAATCAGCAAGCTCATCAATACCCTCATCCAAGCATACAGTGCTATCCACATCGAAGCACACCGCATCGGCACTGCGCCATGTCTCAAGAACCTCTGGGCATAAGCAGGAAAATCATCACATAAGCTAACCTAGATGCTTCTTGGGAGACGCACGTCACTTAACCAATTAGAGGAATTCTGAGTAAATACCACTAACCTTTCGAAGGCTGGCGGTTGGCTAAACAAGAAGAGGAAGGGTGCTTGGAGACCTTCATTGGTGCTGCCACCACGGCACGAGCTTGAGAGAGTTTGGCACAAGGGAAGTGTGGGTTTGCAGCTCTTATCGCTAACTGTGAAGTCTGTGCTGATCGAACTGAAGATAATGGAGAAACCGACAGAGTATGCCGTGCGCTGGTGCGTGCACTGATTGAACTGGCCATACCATGCACACCTGCTTGCAAATCAGAAGGAAACACCATTAGGCCAAAAACACAACCACCAAGATCATGTTACTCCAGCCAGCTCCAAGAGAAGGCAACATTTACTGCAGCGCGACTGGCACAAGGAAAAAGCCCCTGCCCCTAGGCCTGCTCGAACTCGTTGATGCAAAGCATCAAACAGCTCATGGGCATGCGCCCGGCGGTGCAAAGAGCGGCAAACACCGACGCCGGGCTAAAATTAAGCTCCAAGCAAGTGGAGGCAGAGCAGGAAGAAACTCGTACGCACGGCCGGCGACAGCATTGCGGCGTGGCCTATGATGTCTTGTCTGCCGAGACCCGATTGCTGACTGACCGACTGCCACCGGGGCCGACGTCCGCGCCCTCCTCACGCTGAGCCGCGCGCCTCGCCCTGCTCGCTGCGGGCCGCGACGGTGTCGGAGGGACGGCGCGGCGCATCACCTCCGACGGCGGCAGTACAGGCCAGAGCAGGGGTGGTTCCACGGCGGCCCGCCCTGCCCTGCTTGTATGGTGGGTCCGCTTGCCGCTGGCCAACGGCCATGGCGGATAGAGAATCTAGGAGAGGGCGGCATGGCTGAAATCTAGTACTAGCAAGGAACCAAAAAAGAAAAGAAAGATCGGATCGTGATCCGGGAACTCACACTTGCAGAACAGGAGAATATTCTTCGTCCGGTCGAATGGCGCGCCCAGGCGATACGAAGGATTTGCAGAACGAAGGTTGGTGACGGGCGGAGTGGCGTTCCTCCACCTACCACGTACCTGAACTGTGTTGCCATCCTCCGATGACAAGTGGGCCTACTGATTGGCTCTTGTTACCATCCACGAATGTAGGAAAATACAACTATTGCCCGTCCAATATCGGAAAATACCTGATAAAAAGTTTCTGGGAATTTTTAGTAATACAGAACAAAGTCAACAATCTTCGAAACTATTTTACGAACAAACTTGACTTACTGGCGTACTCAGTATTAAAATTTCGACAAAGAAAAACTCAAGTAAAAAATCTAAGCGAAAAAACAAAATTTCTAGGAAAATATATTGTGAATATGTAACTCTAATGTAGTGCCGATTTTTTTCCGCCAACAATACCACGAAAGTCGTTTCTTCCCAAAAAGTTATACCCGAGTCTAACACTTGAGCAAGTTTGTTGTAAAAAAAAATCTTGAATTTTCGACATTGTTGCAATTACTATTTTTCACTACTTTGACTCTTTCAAAACACTTTCGCACAAAATAAACTTCACACAAAACTATTTTACGATCTGACTCTTTTAATAACACCACAAGCCATGACGTTTCTTCTCTATTTGGAAATGCCGGACTAACCACCGTTGCTCCCCTTCATAAATAAAATGGCAATATGAACAAGCTAGTTGAAACGCCAACACCCTTGGCGTTTCATGCTTGGGCAGCAATGCCAGCCACCCTTGGCATTTCCAGCAACGCGATATATTTGGACGTTTCTGCCTTGCCACGTAGCGTCTCGACCAGGCCAGCAACGTTGGCTACCTCGGCGTTTCTAAATAAAGAAGAATCGTCACGGCTTGTGGCGTCATCAAAAGGGTCAGAACATGAAATAGTTTTGTGTGAAAGTTTTTTAAAAGAGTCAAAATAGTGAAAAGAGCCTGAGTCCCTATGTTCAATATCTCTCTTTGACGACTCAAAAAAGATTTCGCTTTGCAATAGGCATGTACCATCTCGGTTCTTTTGGGGGGAAATCGAAAGAAGAGAAAGTACAACCTAGTCAAGTGGACAAGAGGAATGCAGCCGCACATGGAAAAGGCAATTGTGCCATTTGATGATGCAGCTCCCAACAGAGGCGACAGTGGAGGGGGTGACAGGGGTAGGTGGTGGGGAAGCGAATACTTTCTCCGTCCGGAAATACTTGTCATCAAAATGAACAAAAGGAGATGTATCTAAATGTATTTTAGTTCTAGACACGTCTCTTTTTATCCATTTTGATGACAAGTATTTTCGGACGGAGGGAGTATGAGCATGCAAGCGGAAGTAACTGGTCCAGAGACCGCTAGTAACCTGACAGTGCCGAGTGTGGCGCCCCATCAAGTACAATGAGTTCTATAAGATGGACCCGTCGGTGGTGTGGCCAACAAACCGACAATTCATGATTTGGCATGCCTTGTTCAGAACACCAATGAAAAATTAGTCTTTTATCTAAAACTAGACATAAAGCAAATAAAGTTTGTTGTTTACGTAATATGTTTGGTTTGAGTGGTTTTGCTGGCATTTAAAGTAATGATCTTAGCGGTGGTTTAACTCTTTTATGGTGTGATCAAGTTGAAGTAGAAGTCAAAAAAGTTAATGAAAGATTTATTGATGCTTGCATCCGTGTGTCTCCAAATGCCCCCCTTTGGCGTCTGACTTGTGTGTATGGCGAACCCTGAGTGGATAACCGGCATCACATGTGATCCTTAATGCAAGAGCTGAAAATGAAGTTCAATCTGTCGTGGCGTGTGATGGGTGATTCTAATGTAGCCATGTGGTCATTCGAGCACTTCTTTGTGACACCAAGAAATGAAAACCCGATTCTTGCATTCCGAGACGTGCTTCAAGTTTGTGAACTATCAGGTCTGGTTTCTCTGGTATTGCTCACACATATTGTACAATAATAAGAGGAAAGGTAGGCGCAATGTTAAGGTGAGTGTCTGCGGAATGGAGGATGGGGTTCCCCGAGGCTACTATGATCTGTTGGTCGTAATGTTATGGTCGTCTAAGGAGCAAGGAATCACGAGGGGGCTTGGATAGGCGGAGCCCGAGGTCCATTGACAGTCCCCCATATCCTCGAGAAGAACCTTGGATCCCGCCTACGTATCCTCCTCCCCAGGCACGTGCTTGCTGGGTGGGCACTTCCGAGGTCATCGACGCGTTTGAAGGGAAAGCATGTGCCCATGCTGCAGGAGGGCAGTGATGGTGAAGACGCATATTTTCCCATACCATGGCAGGTAGAGAGAGTTATTACTTGCCGGACACGATGGGAGCATTGACACCTGCTCCCCCTGTGGCTGGGTCAAAGGACGGTTCATCCCCATGATTGCTTATTCATCGACACCGGGATGCGATAGAGTAGTGGGTTGTAAGTCGACATATCTTTTCGGCGCGTCACCTCCAGTGGCCATTGGCTCTCCGACATCATCCCAATGTATGCCATGGGACCAGGCGCCAACCTCGGCAACGATTTCTTCTCCAGGGCGGCCCTTCTGGCCAACCAGGGTGACTTCCCGTCCACGTTGATGGCCGACTCAGAAGAAAAGCAGAAGAGCGGCAGTGGCGGCGCGCCACCAGCAAGTTCTGGATGTTGAGGTCGTCAGGCTCCTAAGGGACTTGTGTGTAATTTTATATTTTGTTTGGGATGCCTTGTAATGCTGAGATTTTTATTATGAATTTGTATATCTTCGCAAAAAGGTGGATTTCGATCACGGAAAAGCTAAAAATCTAAGCCAGATTTGTAGGCATGGCAAATGGAACGCTTTTCATGTTAATTTATGTTGGCGCGAGGATGACAAAATTAGTTGGTGAGTCCGACAATTTCCTGGCAAAATATAAATTGAGGCAGATTTGCCATGCTCACCAACTAAACTAACCAGCCTAGACAAACATAGTTTACCATGAAAAAAATTTGGTTTGCCATGCCAAAAAATCCAATGTCCGTTGTATATTCAGATCCTTCAATTAGGGAATAGCACCAACAATTTTTTTTGCCATTTCCCTTGACTAGGACAACTCGGTTGCGTGTGTCCATGCAAAGCATGGCTGTGACAGTATCTCCATGCCGCTCGACGTATACCGAAGGAGGCGGGTAAATGTCCAGGGGGTAACACACTGCCCCGGGGGTCGTCATCATCATTCGTAAAAGCATGCCATGGGCAACCATGCCACCATGATACAAAGCTAGACTAGCATATTCCAATTTGTATTCGACCAATAGGGGCCTCCGGCAGGTCCTCCACCGATATTATAAATAGGGGAGCCCGAAGCCTAACCAAGGGTCGATCTTTTAATCTTGTAATAGACACACATTGTAGCTCTCTACCATTGGAATGAGAAACAAGGCATGAGTAGGGTATTACACCAAGAAGGAGGCCCGAACCTAGGTATTTCTTTATGTCCATCTGTACTTCATCCTACCACCGTTCATCCATGACTTAGGATTGTTAGACGCATTCAGTCCCTGGCCGAACTCTGAAAGGGTTGTAGCAAACAACTAATATGTAGGTTCTTAGAAACCGACATATACTTTTGCTAGCAACATGGAGAATTTAGTTTTATGTAGGGGGGTGTTTCTATGACTTTAATTTTGTCTCAACTTTATTTTGATCTATGAAACTGAATATTGATATATTATATGTTAGTTCACTTAATTACATTTATATGACCACATTGTTTATATTTTCAGTGTTTTATTTGTGGTTCAGAAGTTTTGGTGCTATTTTATATGTTGTGTATTCGAACACCCGCTTCGATTTCCATATTAGACGCGTAGCCTCAAACTTGCCCAAGCTTCACCAAAATTCTGTCTCCGCCACTACGGCTAGGTATAATTAAGACCTTTTTTTAATCTTTTTATTTAGCACTGGATGTAGAAAAAGCATGTTTCTTTGCGCTCGTTTTCACCTAGAACTAGTGCGTACGTAGAAGAACTGTATAGACTTTCACAGCAGCATCTCAAGGTGGATCGAGGTCCGGTTCATAAATTGCAAGCCTTTGGGAGCTCTTGCTCGAAGAAACCCTAGAGAATACCCTCCTAAGCATTATCTTTTCTCTGAAAATTTATGAAACTTTAGTCCCCAAAATAAAAGTGAATGAAACTTAACAAAATTGATAGCAACTACTCCTACAACTGTCTAGAGGCTATATCATCCATCAAAACTATTTTGAACCATACAAATTCAACATGCAAGCTCATATATATGGTCACCAACAATAGCAAAATATGCAAAACATAAACCAATAAAACAAAAACTAATTGGACCATCAGAGGAGTCACATACCAAGGAGCGATTCCTC